GTCCGGTCAAGGGCATGTACCTTGGTTGCGGGCACATCCCCAGTAGGAGGTGTGCAGGAGGCAGCTGGTGGATGTTTCTCTCTCATTGATGTTTCTGACTCTCTATCCCTCTCCCTTCCTCTCTGTAAAAAAATCAATAAAATATATTTTAAAAAAAAAGCATAGGGTTTGACTATTTAAAACCAAATCACTCTACACAATCATAAAATTACATCTTCATTAACTAGATACCTTTGCTTCCTCTGCCATTTTTTTCTCTTCATCCACCTCTTCAGTTTTTGATGAATCTTCACTTTGGAGTTTTTTTCTCTTTTGCTTGGGAGCCATGAAGCCTTGGAGAAATTTCTTTATGACACTGGCTTGAAGGGCAATTACACATTCACCAAAATCCTTCAGTTTCTCCAAAGAGACCACCTACAGGAATTGATTTAAAAACCAGGTTAAGAGAAAAGCTGAGAGAAAGATGAAAGGAGACTATCCTTGACTACATTCAAATTAACCTAGACACCAATGGATCACATAACATTAGTTTAATTGCGTTCCTCAGTTCAATGGATGGCTTATGCATTTAAAAATAGCTGACTACTTCCATTTCCCCAGCGAAGGAATCCACAAAATGCTGAAACTTGCTCTACTTAAGTAAGTAATCAATTCAATTCTTCCGTGAGCGCCTAAACTGAGTGCCTATTATGTGTAAACCATAGTCTAAAGGCAAAGAAAAACTAGGAAGGAAAATTGAAATTGTCTTAACTACTAGCTTACAAACTATAAACTAAGTAATATGCTTTACATACTTGACTTCAGATAAGTCTCACATTTTTTTTTATGAATGAGGAAACAGAAGCTAAATCACCTGGACCCAAATCATGTTCTTAAATACTAAACTACTTTCTTTAGTCATGCAAGACACACAATTAAAAGATGTCATTTTATAACCACAAAGAGAAACAAGGAAGAATGATAATAATCCAATGCTAGTACGGTATGGTCTGACACAAAGTAGGCACTTGGTAAATATTTGCTAAATAAATAAAAGAGTAAATGTAATATTTGAAAATGGCAAGGTTATTTTGGGTTGAATAATTCTTAAAAGAAATTAAAAAACAAAGATATTTAAATTCTTTTCCCTAGGAAATGTATCAAGAATTCATAAACAGATTAATTAAAAAGAAAAAGCAGCATATATAAGATGCATTTATAATTTGCTAATTCCAATAGCAAAGAAAATGAAATACAAACTCTGACAGTAGATTTAAAATAGTATCAACTCCATCGGTTATTATGACCCTGAAGTGATATAAAAACTAAAAGAAACAGAAAGTGTTTATAAATTAGGACAAAGGGAGTTTCTGAGAAAGATGTAACTGAAAGGAAAAAAAATGCTACAAGCCGCCTGTTTTATCTCAACTCCCCAGGCTCCCCCTCCCCAGGCTTCCCCCCCACCCCGCTAGAGACGCCAGGGATGGGGAACAAAGGGAGTGCAGGCCTTGAGGCTGCCCTCGGAGATAGCCCTGGTCACAAGCGGCAGGCTGAGTAAACAGAGCGCCAATCAACCATTAAGATAGCAAGTCATAAAACACCCTACTGAGATACACAGCAGGGTCCTTGGAATCTCTTTGTTTCCCTCTTACCCTCCTGCATACAGCCCCTCCCTGATGTGTGATTTTTGCCTATAAATATCTGAAAGACTTGTTGCCCGGGGCCCAACTCCACTCCTGCGTGAGTTTCGAGTTGAGCCCCAGCGCGCTGGAATAAAACCTCTTGCTGTTTGCATCAAGTGACGTCTCCTGCGGTTGATTGGGGTCGCCGTAAGTCTGCAGGACAGAGTGAGGGTCCCATTATTGGGGTCTCACATAACTGCTCATAAAAATTATACAATTACACCTGAAACTAATATAATATTGTATGTCAACTGTAGCTGAAAAAAATTTAAAAATGATACAACAAAAATATACATGCTATAATGCACATAAATAATTTGAAAGGACCCGCAGGGGTTCTCAACCTTCCTAATGCCGCGACCCTTTAATACAGTTCCTCGTGTTGTGGTGACCCCCAACCATAAAATTATTTTTGTTGCTACTTCATAACTGTAATTTTGCTACTGTTATGAATCGTAATGTAAATATCTCATATGCTATATGTGTTTCCCGATGGTAGCGACCCACAGGTTGAGAACCGCTGGTTAGAGTTACTATGGACTTTATTATTTAAAATCAGTAAAAAATATTTTATAATAATTGATGGATAGTATTCTCCAATCTAACAGCATGAGTATTGCCCAATATAAGCATAATTCTCCGGAGTTAATCTAGTGTAAAGAATGCATAAAATCAGCCCTAGCCAGTTTGGCTCAGTAAATAGAGCATCAGCCTATGGACTGAAGGGTCCTGGGTTCGATTCTGGTGAAGGGCATCTGCCTGGGTTGCAGGCTCAATCCCCAGTAGGGAGCATGTAGGAGACAGCCAATCAATGATTCTCATCATTGATGTTTCTCTCTCTCTCTCCCTCTCCCTTCCTCTCTGAAATCAATAAAAATACATTAAAAAAAAAAGAATGATGCATAAAATCAGAACACAACAAATGTATTTCAGACCTAAAAGCACAGGCATCACATGCTAATAAACATGTTAAATAATGTTACAGGGCTATGGCTCCGGGACCAGTTTTCATTCAACTTAATAGAAAAGGCTCTGAGCCAACTATTAGATTTTTGGGGATACCAGCAAAAGATGACAAAGGAAAAATATCATATGTATATAGAGTATTTTTCAGTTCCACATGTCTTTCAAGATAAACCCAAACATATGATTTCCAGGATCACCAGGGGAAGTCAACAACAGTATCAGGGGACAATTCCAAATTGGGTTTTCATGAGTAACAGATTTCAAAGGGTGTTTTCATAAGTTCTTACTCGTGCTTCAAATTCCGATGTTTCTTCCACATAACCAAGACCTCCCTTTTGTAACCTTGTTGCAACTTCAATGAGATCACTACGAAGAAAGTTTAAGAGCTCCTGGTTGCCATCACAGGATTTTAGGCCCAAATTTGGCTTCCGGGCTAGGTGAATAGAATGAACAATGTCCTGGTACCTAGAAAAGTTGGAATAAGCAGGAGGGGAAATAAATTTTTGAAGATGGTTCATAAATTGCAATTACTTGAATAACATGCTTTATTTCTATAAGACATCTTTAGATTTTTCCCCTCTCCTTGGTAATTTTTAGTACTCTGTTTCTTGCACAAAATTTCAAATTTCTCTTATTCTTGATTTATTTTAAAAACTTATTTTATTCTGTATTTGCTAAATTCCAGTATCTAAAGTGGGTTGCTTTTCCTAGCTCTTATTCATGATACCTAGTTTGTATATTTTTAAACTTACCATGAGTTTCTTGGAATTTTATCCAAGTTTGTGGGAATTCTTTGAGGCCTGGTCTAAAGCTGTGCTCCTCCAGAGAGAAAGTATACTTGCTTATGTCAGTGGCAAAATTGCTACCAACCCAAGATAACTTTAAATCATCTGCCTAAAATTCTTCACAACACAGAAAAAAAATTTCAACTGAAAACCTACATGAGGACCTTCACTTCACATGCACTTTTCCACTAATGATTAACCATTTGAGAAGTCCCAACAAAGAAAGACTAAAATACGACTCTCTACCTTGGATGGGGCCAACTATTAGCTTCACTGTTGGCTTCCTATACGAAAATGAAAACTAAAGCTTAAGGTCATCTAAGCGGAGTACTAAGTTCCCTATTCTTTCTTAATAATATGGGCTTTTAATATTATTTTCCTGAATACAACTTCGTTGTTACTGGTGTTCTTATAAAGGACTAGAGGCCTCGTGCATGAATTCATGCACGGGTGGGGTCCAGCTGGCCCGCCCATGGGCAGGTGGCCAGCTGACCAGCCCCACCCCTTGGTCAAACTCCCGGTGGAGGGGACAATTTGCACATTAGCCTTTTATCATATAGGAAGGATTCTTTCAGCCCTAGCAGGTTTGGCTCAGTGGATAGAGTGTCAGCCTGCGGACTGAAGGGTCCCAGGTTTTACTCTGGTCAAGGGCACATGCCCGGGTTGCAGGCTTGATCCCATTGTGTGGCGTGCAGGAGCAGCCGATCAATGATTCTCTCTCATCATTGATGTTTTTATCTCTCTCTCCTTTCCTCTCTGAAATCAATAAAAATATATTTAAAAAAATTTTTTTTAAATAAAGGATTCTTTCATTGTTTTCCATGTTCAATATAATTTCCCTTTATTTTCTTGTTTTATCTAATTGTTACCTAGGAATATACTTAACTTACTACCAGTTAAGATCTTTTTAATCATCTTTAAATAATTTATTTCTAATTTTATTGCAATCTGATGAGAGAATATATCCTGAAGCTTTCTACTTTTGTATTTTGTTGAGATTGTTTCTGTGGCTAAGTATATAAATATTCATTGATATAACAAAAAAATTTACTTCTTTATGTTTCCAAATGGCCTAGTATCCTTTGATATACTTTTTTAAAAAAATCTTTCTTACTGAGCTATAACTGACTGCATACCCTTTAATTTATATCCATCATTTTACATATTTTCTTATAAAGAGAAAATATATATATGGTGCCCCCCCCAAATATGTGTGTGTGTGTATATTCTGTTACATTTTGAGAATGAAATGCATTTTAATAAACATTGCCTTTATAATTATTCAAAGTGTGCATACATTTTTGGGGGCTACCCTATGTATTTTTAAATAAATCTGAACCTCAAATGGTTTGTGAAGTATTACCTCATCACCTTCGCTACCCCCAGGGAAATCAACTCAAATAACCACCATCAAGAGAACAGATAAATAAATTGGGGCAGATTCACAAATATTAGTCATGGAATAATATAAAGGAAAATGGAGTTCAGTTATTTAAAAAAAAAAAAAGGATGGCTCTTGAGTGCCAAGTAAAGAGCAGTAAGCCCCAAAGACTATATGTACTGCTTGACAGCTTTTTTAGTGAACGGAACAAGTCCTTTCAATCCTATGCATGTGCCTAGCAAATACAGTAGAACCTTGGCTCTAAACTTCATTCATTCCAGAAGGCTGCTCAAGAAGCAATTTGTTGGAAAACAGAATAATTTTTTCCCATTAGAAATAATATAAATTGAATTTGTTTTAGACACCCAAATGATTCTCTGTTTTAACCTTTCTTATATACAGCACATGTTTGATGTACTGTTTTATCTATAAACAAACACTTGCTGTCTTAAATTTATCGAATCACTACCTTCTAGCCTTAAACAAATCACTTTCAGCACTCGTTCCAGGGGTATCTTTCAGGTCAGCATGCAGCATCTTTGCTTGTAGTCACCAGCTAACTGCTTTTCATTTATACAAATCAACAAACTCTCTACCTCTTCAATTGCCTATGATCATTGTTTCTTTCATACCCTTAGCAACATTAGCACTCTTGATAGCTTCTTTATGTTTTAAAATTGTGCTAATTGTCCATTTCATCAGCAACAAAAGCAAAAAATACATGTATATTTACAGCACTATTTCCTGAGATGGGCCTGAGAGATGCTTTTGTCATGCTGATCTATATCAGCATGAAAGAGTTTCAGGCTTAGAACTGAAATTTGTTCAACAACCCAGACGCTTTTTTTCTTTGAACAACTTAGTTGAGAACAAAATTGTTCATTTGAGAACCGAGGTTTGACTGTATTTTAATAAGAAGGTTCATCATAGAACTATATCCCTTTGTGGTTCTGTGTACTGACATTTTCCCTTGTCTTTCTTAATTTTCCTAATCATATCTGCATTAATACAGCATGATTCTGAATATAATTTTAATTTTTCACATTAAGCAGTGGGCTAAAACCGATATGTATCCACAACCACTCACAAAAGTCTGGTATTTTCATTCTCTCAATCAAACCTAAATTCAATCATGAAAGCACGCAGTCAGAAATAAAAGGTAGTCTTAAACCAAAAGCTTGTCCTAGCTTTGATAGAAACAATGCCTAGAAAAGGAAGTACACTAACAAATCTTGATGGAGTTGATGCTCATTTTGTAGATAGCACAGTTCTTGCTTGGGATTTTGGGGTGTTCGGGGTTTTTTGAGATGTAAGTCACATAACATTAAACTCATCATTTTAAAAAGTATAAATTTTTAGTGGTTTTACGTTGTGGAACTAACCAAACTACCTAATTCCAACATATTTTTATCACCCCATAAAAAATCCCACAGCTTGCCTAACAAGTTTGGCTCAGTGGATAGAGCGTCGGCCTGCGGACTCGGGGGTCCCGGGTTCGATTCCGGTCAAGGGCATGTAGTTGGTTGCAGGCACATCCCCAGTTGCACATCCATTCCCTTGTGCCTTGAAGTCCTCGGTGAAAGGCATACCTATCCTTGCCTGGGCACCCAGGGTGTGCCAAACACTGCCAGTCACACTCCCCACTTCCGTTCATCCTCTCAGGGGTGCTGAGAGGCGGGGAGAGCGG